CAGGGAAAGAGGCTCAGAGAGGTCAGGTGACCTGCTGAAGGTCATAACAGCTGATCATTGATGGGGCCACGTCTCAGTTCACAGTTGGAGCTCAAGTCTTCAGCCACCATATCTGCATCCATGGGAACCTTCCTCTGCTCCTGTAGCTATCCCTGAATGACAGGGCCAGAAATAATGCTCCCCCATCATGCAGATGGGGAAACCAAGGCCCAGGCAGAGACAGTATTGGCAGAGCTCTGGGGGAGGTGGGGAAAGGGCAGGAGAAATCAGAGTCGTGGAATAGAGGAGCTAGATCTCTGCTAAGGCATATGTGTATTTGTTTGTTCATCCAACAAATATTTATATAACTCCTGCTGCTGTTAATCCAAATGGCTCATGGCATTCAAAACTGAGGCTCTGAAAGGGGAGATGTTTTTCCTGGGGTCCCAAAGCAAATTAGGTGCAGAGTCTGGACCAGAACCCAGGACACCAATGCCCAGGTCTCTTCCCACTACTCCAGCTGCTTCTCTATCCCCCAGCAGCCCCTCAATTGAATCTAGTCCACACCACAGCTGTGCAGCCATCAGCTAGTGTTTATTGAGAGTCCCCTCAGGTGGTCTTGGGGACAGAGGAAGCCCCAGCAAGCACCATGGCCCCTCTGCAACTAGCAGCCAGGGCCTGAGTTGAGTCTAGTCAGCACCAAGGAGAGCGCCAGGCCATGCGTGGAGGACCCCCTGGGAGTTTGTATTGGAACTTGGAGGACAGGAAGCTTTAATTTAAAAAAAAAAAAAAAAAAATCCAGCTAGTAAGGGACCTATGGCAGGTAAACTGTGAGGACCAAGGATTCCCCCATGCCCTGCCCCCCCAAACAAGGCTCCTGTGTGAGAGTGCACCCACCTGCCTGGTGGCCCCACCCCACCACCAGGGACAGGTCCTGTTCAAGTCAGTGGTCACCATTCCCATTTCTCTCACTGTTGGGAAGGCCAACAGGACGTGGGCCAGGAGTTGGGTTTATCCTAGCTATTCCCTTCTAGGTCCAAGGAAGCCCAGGGTAGAGGAAACCCCATCCCTGAGGTTGAAAAAAAAAACCTGCCATCTGCCCCTCTGCCCCCAGGAGAGACAGTGCAGCAGCGTGGGAGCTGGGAAGGTCCCTGAGAGCTGGGGGCCCTTCCCAGCATCCAGAACAAGGAGGTGAGGAACCAGCGTCAGGCTGTGGGAACCTGGGCTGGGGCTGAAGAAGCGGGGGGGGGGAATGGAAAAGAAACTGGGAACAGCAATTCCTGGCTGATCAGAGGCCTGGGTGGCCAGGGGTTGAAGCAATGGAACACAGCACTTGCTGACCATCTACTGGACGCTGAGCTCTCTGTCCACATGGTCTTCATTCTCAGGACAGTCCTGTGAGGTAGCATCATGACCCCCATTGCACATGGGAGAGCTGAGACGGAGAGCCAGCGACGGGGAAACCAGAGATGCAAATGCATGCCTGCTGGCTCCCTGGCTCAGGTGGCTTTCTGTGCTGCCACTTACATCCTGAGGGGCTGGCATGTCCAAAAACTGTCCAGCAGATCATTCCCAGGGC